AGCTGATCAGATTGGGGGCCATGCTTGCCTTCCATCCCCCAACACAAATCCACGCATCGTGCAAGAAGCTCCCACCTGAATGGCCGTCGAAGACCGCCAAGCTGCCCCTGACCATTCAAAGGCCAGTGGCCAAGGCCACACCCCTGGGGCCTCAGGCCTGCCGGGGGAGGATGGACCCACACCTGACCGCCTGTCGATTCCAGAAACTTCCCCCGAGGCCGACAGAATGGAAGTGCAGGGGCTTCGCACCTGTGCACCCACCCAAGCCCACACCCCGCCTCGCCAGGTGGCATCCTGGGCTGAGGTCTTGGGAGCGGGGAGCCCTGACACCGTGCCTTCCGGCCGACCCAGCTCCAGGAACACCGGACCCATAATGAAAGGTCCTGACACCCTCTCTTCCATTAAGAACCTCCAGACCAGGAGAGAAGAAGGGGCAGCCTCTCCTTAGCCCCACCGCAGCCTCCGGGGATACCCTACATTCCAGTCCATGCCTCCTCCATCGCCTCCTCTGTCACCGCCCCTGGGATGGGCTCTTCTCTGGACAGAAACCTCCAAGAGCCCGAAGACTAACCGTCTGCACACCAACCCGCCCTAGAGCTCACAGGCATGAACACCAGGCAATGTTCTAAACTCACTTTACATCCTGAATCCTCAGCACGGCCTGCAACGTGGGGGCTATTACTGTCCCCATTCTCCACATGGGGAAACTGAGGCAGGGGGCTGCCGGCGGGCCCGCACACGGAGTTCTTGCAGCTCTTTCCAGGCCATCCTGTCCCCTCCCAGGGCCTCTCCCCAGCTGGAGCTCCACCCCTGCAGCCTGACTCACCACTTCCTCTCTGCTGTTGGCGGCAAACAGATAACCAGGCCGGTCGGAGATGAATGGGCCCTGGCCCCTCCCATCCCAAGGGTGCAAAATAAACGGTTCAGGAACAGCAAGTGCTTGGGTTCCTGAAAGGACATCTTTTGAGCGTCTGCTCCACACCACGCTCCGCTCCGGGTGCCAGAGCCTGGCCTCAGGGGACTGTGGTCCAAGCACCGCTGAGGTCTCCTTGACGAGGTCCAGCTGTCGGGAGTTTGACAGATGCCGGTGACCCGAGAGGACGGGGAGCTGCTAGGAACTCTGCCCTGGCCTTCAGACGCAGACCTGCGGGCCTGGGAGATCCCCGGGTCTGTGTGCAGGCATCTGAGACACTGGAGGGCTGACTTCAGGATGCGAAAGGCCCTGGGATCTCATGCAAACTTACACACTTAATGCACCTGTATTCCTCTTCTCCCTCCTGACGTCGCCCCTGCGGCCGCATCTGCCCAGCCCGCACCGACACATGTTTCAGTTGTGGGTGGAGGGCGAACTGTAGCAAAGAAGAGGCCACGTGGCACAAGGCAACATGGGTCTCCTGTTCTGTGCACCATCTGCCCAGGCATGGTGAGACTTGCCCTCTAGGTTTAAATTTCTATGTTTATTAGTGTACACTCTGCAGGTTTAGGCACTAAGAGAGTCTGCATGGAGCGGGATGAAGCCCACGGGCCACACGCATGTTAAAGTGAGCTGTGGAGCCCTGCTGGCTGGAGGCAGTCTGTGGGGGCCGGGGGGGAGTTGGGCGGTTCTAGAAGAAGTCCCTGCGCCATCACTCGCTGGAACTGGGGACGGTGCTGCTTCCTCCTGCAGAGCCTCAGAGCTCTCCCTCTGTCCTGGGTGCCGGCGCCTCGCCCGGGCAAGACAGTGTTTCCGGCCTGCGCACAGCCACACACCTTGCTGGAATGGGAGACCCTGCCAGGGGGGCAAGGGCACTGAGCCAGCAGCCCCCAGGAGGCTCCAAAATCTCCCGCCACCCGGAGGCTCTCCAGGCGATTCTGGGAGCTGCAGGCATGTTCACAGTGGCTGAGCCCTCGCCAGAACTCATCAGACCACAGACCCGAGTCTTTCAGGGATGAGGACTGAATCCCAGTGCAAATTACATCCGATGATTTTCCAAAATTCTGCGTGCATCAAACTCTAATACTCACAAGACACTCTTCCCGGTTCAATACAGATTACTCAAAGAATTGGGGAATGTTCTTGCCTAAAATCTCCTAAGATTGCCCTCAAGGGAGAAAGAAATGTCTTCCAACAAAAGTTTTTTCTACAAAGGCCAAACTTGCTGCTAAAAATTTGAAGTGATAGATTTATGGGGGATACATTGTATGCATGCTTGCTAAGTTGCTTCCGTCGTGCTGACTCTTTTGGCAACCGCCTGGACTGTAGTCCACCAGGCTCCTCTGTCCATGGAATTCTCCAGGCATGAACACTGGAGTGGGTTGCCATTTCCTCCTCCAGGGGATCTTCTCCACCCAGGGATCTTACCTCTCCTGAATTGGCAGGTAGGTTCTTTACCACTAGCAACAACTGGGAAGCCCCTGGGAGATATGTTATGTGATTACAATTACAGATTATCTCCTATTTCACATAATATTAACATATATAACAGTATAAAATCAAGTTCCTGAGGATTCTTCTCAAATAGTAACAACAGTGGTGATATTTGTAACTTATAAGTGAATTTTAATAAGACCATAAATTAAGCACTCTCAGTTCTTAAATTTAGTGAGAAGCAAAGTAAGTAAAACAAGTCACAAGAAACAAGGACAGATATGTATACACTGTTTCAATAAACTAGGCAATTTATCCTGTTCCAGTTCTCTTGTCACTGTGCTTTTGTTCCATACAATCAATTCCCTTGACTTACAGTTGTTTGAAGAATTATAACAATAAATTACATATACAGATTTGTAAGTTACAGAATACTAATTTTTTTAGCAGAAAGATTCAAACACTTCTCAAACAAGAGAACAAAATCCATTCAACCTTTTCAAGAAGAACGATTTAATGGTATGACTGCTATTGCTAATATTGTATTTTCAACGCCCTGCTCAATTTTAATCCATCAGACCTCGAAGTCCAAAAATTAATGTCTCCAAGAAGAGTGTTTTTTCTTACTCTTCTTCCCATAAATCCTCAACTCTGAAAGAGAAGGCTCACCTTTCAGATGGGCTATTCCTCCAATCACACGGAATAAAAGTCAAAGTGCTGAAATTAACAAATGTTTGGGCCATCCCTGGAAAAAAAAAATCACACAGCCCAGCCAGGCCACCTTCAAAATGCCAGCGTGTGAGGTCAGCTTAGGACAGAGCGACCCAGGTCTGCATCAGCAGCAAACCACCCCGGGAATGCACACAGATCCTGCCTTGTGCCCCTGTCTGCTTTCTGGGGAGTCATCACACAGAATAATGTCCACTTCAGTCAGAAAACCTCAGTCACCACTAAAAGACACCTTTACCCTCCACTGTCTTTGTCCAAACCAGGGTGGACAGAGAATTCCTCCGAGGCCCCAGTCCAGCCCCTGTAAAACTCCCGACACTACGGAGGAGGGGAGGGTGGACAGGCAAGGCGGCACGCCCAGGCCCAGCTCTCTCTGCAAACTTCGAGTCACCCCCAGCGCTGTCTGTAAGGCCACAGAGAAGAGGAAGAATTCTCAGAGCACACGCAGGTCCACAAACACGTGCTGTGCGGGGGAAGGTTCATTTTCATCTCTATATAAACATGCCTGTCCCCGGGTGTGCACCTGAGCCGTGCCAGCTTATCTCCCCTTAGAGACTGAAGCCAAAGAACAGACGGCCGCCACCCTCAGGAGCACCCGGCCGCGGGCCCCAGCAGCCCTTCCCCAGCCCAAGGGATGCCTTCCCCAGGGGCCTCCAGAGCCCTGTGTGGAACAGGCTCTACAACCCAAGTGCCGGCATCCTTTTGAAGGAGGAACGAAACGCCCTCAGCGGGGTAGGCACCGGCGGCTGTAACACGCAATCCCTGAGACCAGGGTCGTTCCTCCAAGCCAGCTTCCGGAATGAGACACTGCATTATTAAAGGGCTTTCTAAGTCAGAAACACGGCGGCAGACAGCCTATAGTATAGCTTGGTAGCACTGATGCTAGAAGATGAGAAGCTTCTGGCAAGTCAGGCAAAGTTCCCAACAACAGGACAGGTCAAGCCGGTGCAAAGAGCCTCAGACACAGAGCACGTGAGAGGCTGTCATCTCACTCACCCCATCCGTGAAGAAGCCTAGTGGCCAGACCTAGGAAAACCCCTTCTTGCAACAAGACCTGATTATTCCCAAAACAGAAATGTCACAGGGTGGTTTGCACCAAAGCACAAAAGGTGGTACGTGTCTATACCAAAAGAAGCCCCAAATAAACCCCAAATCAAGATGCCAGGGCAGAGTTAATTAAAAATAATTTAATATTAAATTTAAAATAATGTCTTGTTCTTTCCACTTGCCAAAGTGTTACTACATAGCTCAAAGGCACCCCTCCTTTTTTTCTATCTTAGCACAGGTTATTTTTTTAACTTTTTTATTTTTTATTGGGGTATAGCTGACTACCAATGCTGTGATAGCTCCAGGTCGACAGCCATACTCATACATGTATCCATCCTTCCCCAAACTCTGCTCCCATCCAGGCTGCCACATAACACTGACCAGACTTTCCTGTGATGTACACTAGGTCCTTGTTGGTTATCCATTTAAAGACATCCCCCCAGCTCGCCTTTGCCCCGCTTTAAACTATACTGCGGTTTCACTAATTATAAAAATAATTATTTCAACAAACATTTGCTAAGCACTCGTTCAGAGGCTACATGCCCAGCAGTGAACAAAACAAAGCCTGATTTTAAGTGTTTTCTTTCTGTACAATACAGGCATCTCCTTGAGATAACACTGAATATAAAAAATTGAATCCAAGTTTTTCACTTTTAACAGTAAAGTTTTTCCCATAAGAGCAGATGTTCCCTGAAAACACCACTTAATTATTGACTACATAATATTCCATGTGGACAGTGTCATAATTTACCCAAAGATATTTTCAAATGCTCACTGACCTCACGATAAAAACACAAACAAGAGATGCAGCTAAACACAGTATGTTAGATCCAGATTTAGGACCTTAACAGGGGAAAAGGAGGATATACAACCTTACCGATCACAGACCGAAGGCAAGTATACGGTTTCGGCTTCCCCGTGGGCCACGTTAAGGCCTAACTCGTGAATCTCCCTTTTTTATAAGCCCTACTCCCTCTTTGATCCAAGAGAACATTGTCTGCACAGAACAATACGTTTTCATTTTAATTTCCCTTCTTTTCAGGAAAGGAAATGTTTGCACTTCAAAGGGTTCCTTTGAAGAGCAGCCCCCGGCCCTGGCCCGTCCAGGTTAGGAGTTCCGCGGCCCCAGCGGGGCGTGCAGAGTCTGGGCGGCTGCCCACTGCAGCCCCTCTCCAGGCCAGCTCCTTCAAGGAGAGGGTCTGGTGCGGGAGAAGAAAAAACAAACATTGGAAAAATACTCGAGGCTTTTGATCGTGGCCTTCAGAGGCCCTTTCTCACACAGTGTGGATTTCACAGGCCGGGGAAACTGAGGTACAAACCCCGGGGAGCCAGGTCCTAAGAAACCAGCCCCACCCAGTGAGGAGGTCTTCTAAGCCGGCAAAGAGTGGAGCACCGGGGGCGTTGCTGGTGATGATCAAGGGGACGTCTGTGATAACCGAAACGCACGGGTGAGATCCATGCCTCATCCAGCAGTTTGGAATCTTCCCCGGGAACCTCAGCAAAGACTAGGATGCACAATTTAGGGTGTCCCCTCTTCTCTCTCCCCTGGCCTCTCCGGCAGGCCCATGCCCCTACCCTCTGCTGAGTCTGGGGAGCCAGGGCTGCACAGCAGACAAGAGAGGGCCTGCAACATTTGTTTTCAAGTCGTGAACAAGTTCTGGGTATTTAATAATGATCTCCACCCTTCCCCACCCCGAGGGGGTTAACTGCCTATTCAAGTGGGCCACCGGCCAGAGGTTGGGCACGGGCGTGAAAGCTTCGACTCCAGACAGGGCGCCCGCTGCCCTGAGGCCCCAGGTCTCTGCTCAGGGCTCCCGCCCTGCGTGTTCGGGGTGCAGGTCTGAGGGATCAGGTCGCCCTGAACTGAAGACTTCTGACCATCCACCTTCCACTAACCTGCCGGGCGCGTGGGCTCTGTGCTGGAATCACAGTGGTGTTCATCTCCTCCTCCTTTTACTTCTCTGTAGTTTACCTGTTCTTCACAATAATGCATTCTAACTTTTAGAAACATTTTTTCCCTAAAGAGGCTTATAAGATAGAAAATGAGACCACAGTTCCATTGAAAAAGCCTCTCCTGAAAAAGGGAACAGAAAGAAACAAACTACCTATGCGTACATGTAAAGGACATTATTTGAACAACGGAAAGTTGACTGCGGACTGTGGATTAGATGACAATGTCATAACGTTCAATTTCCTGGTTTTGATGTCATACTGTGCTCACGTAAGAGAACGAGAAAAACCTTATCAGGAAACACATTGAAGCTTGCAGGGGGGTAAATCAAATGACATGATGTCTTCGACTTACTCTCATAGGGTTCAGGAAAAAATACATATATGTGTGTGTGTAGATTAACTGATTGACAGATAAACAGAAAGAAGGAACAAAATATAAGCAATGGGTGACTTGAAAAAACTGAGGAGCTCCTGTAACTCCTGCAACCTTTTTCTTTTAAGTCGGAAGTATCAGTCATGAAAAGTTGAAAAGTGAAGGAAGAGCAGAGAGAGGCAGGCAGGGTTGGGAAAGAGCCTCCCACCCGACCCTGCTGCACTCGAGGCCTCACTGCAAGGCCAAGGCCCCGGCCACTGGGGCCCAGTCTCTCCAAGGAAGATGCGCCCTGCGGCTACCCTGGCTCAGACAGCCCTCGTCCCCAGCGTCCTGAGGGTGTCAAAGAAGCATCTCACAAGGAAGGAGACCCCGCCCCACCTCCTGCACTACTGAAGTAAAGATCTGGGCCCAAGGACCACTGCCACCGGCCTTGAGAAGGGGGCAGAACCGAGGGAAACCACGCTTCCCTACAAATCAGAGCCCCTGCAGAGGGCCCCCTCCCCAGCAGAGCTGGAGGGGGAGCAGAGAGGACCGATGCAGACCAGAGAAGCAGGGTTCCCCGGGGCCTGGCTGGAAGTCCCACGTCCAGCCGGCTCTGGTGATGCCAACGCCAGACTGCTGACCCAGAAAGAATGCGGCCCAGCCTGTGTCACACACGTGCCAGCGCCAGGCCTGACCACTGGCCAGCACAGCTGTCCCGGGACACCAGAGGTCCAGCTGCGCCAGGAGCCGGGGCTCAGAGAGAAGAGAGCTGCACTCCAAAGATGCGGGGGCAGATAGAGAAATAACGTGGGCCGCCATGCAGCGGTGGGACAGCAGGCTCCCGCGCCCCCGGGACTTACTTGGAACCCAGAGAGCCCGGGGGCCTGGCATCTCCAGGTCCATGTGCTTATCTCAGGGCCCAGCGCGGGCCCGCGCACACATGGGTGCAGACCACAGTCCCGAGACGGCCACAGCCCCAGACAGGGGGTGATGCCCACGGCCCTGGGCACAGTGTCAGGACCCCGGGGCCAGGTCCCAGGGGCAAATCCACGCTCTGCCGCTTACCACCCACCCCTGCGCCCGTTGACAACTTGCATCCCTTCTCTGGGCCTCCTCACCATCATCCAAACAGCAGGACCGACCTCACCGGGCGGCTGTGAGGATTAAATAAAAAACACAGAAAGCGCGCAGCCCACGGTGAGCGCTCACAAGGGCTTGTAGTCTGAGTCTTATTCGACCTCAGGGCCTCTCCCTTCCTTTCTACTTGGTCTAAGAGACTTTGGTTAATGGTACTGGGTGTGAAGATAAAAAGATCCAGAGAAAGAGAGCGTTTCCAAGCAGACCTGAAAAGGTCACCGCAAGCATCTTCACGGGCAGGAAGATGATGGTGACAACCCTGTGATGAAACACCAGTCAGACCACGGTCCCTCCTTTTCCTTCGCCAGCACCCCTAGTGATGGCCCGCCACCCCACCCCACCCCTCTCAAGGATCTCCATCACCCCTCCAGGAAGGAGGAAAAACGGTGGGAAACAGACGTGGCCCAAGTTTTTAACCCCAAAGCCCTCAGGGTAACTTGGACAAAATGTCTCAGGTTGGGATGGATGAGCGTAAACACCTTCCAGACAGACTCACATGCACACCCTTTCTCACTCACACACACACATACGCACGTGCACACAGACACGTACAGGCAAACACTGAGAACAGGGCCGGGAGCTCTGCCTCCCAGAGGCACGGAAAAAAAGGGGAAGTGTTAGTCACTCAGTCATGTCTGATTCTCTGTGACCCCACGGACTGTAGCCACCAGTCTCCTCTGTCCAGGGGGTTCCCCAGTCAAGAATACTGGAGTGGGTTGCCATTTTCTTCTCCAGGGGATCTTCCCCAGCCAGGGATTGAACCCGTGTCTCCTGCATTGCAAGCAGATTCTTTACCATTTGAGCTACCAGGGAAGCCACCCCGAGGCATGAGGAGGGTTCAAACCCAAGGTTGTGGGTCTGAGATCTGCGAAACCGGCCTCCCTGACACCAGGCCCTGTGCCACCCCCTGCCGTGTGGACACAGCTCCAAGGAGAAGGGACTACACGTTAACATCTCAGGAAAGCGGTTTGCAACAGCAAAACTACGCTGTTGCAGATTTTGTTTTCCTCCATGCTGAAATCAAGGAACTGAGCTTTCTCTCCAACATAACAGCGAATATTTACATGAAGCCTTGGTATGTGGCAGAGTTGTGTGAGGTGCATAACCTGGATTATGGCCTCATTTAAATCCCCTCAACCCTACACAGTGGGTACTAGAAGTCAATTACTATACAGGCAATACAGAAAAGAATTTAAATGTGGCTCTGAGAAACATCTCGGAAAAAGGCATTTTAGAGATAAGTGGAGCCCACTCTGGGGCAGGGGGCCGTGAGGAGAGCGGGGGTTGGGGGCCGCCTGGGGCTGGCACCGTGAGCGGGTCCCGAGGCAGAGCCCGCTGTGTGCCTAGCACGCGCGGTCAGCCTCTACTCCTACGTAAGTAGGAAAGCACTTGGTGGATCTCTTACACAGGAATCTTATCTGCATAGATATTTGGAAGAAAGCTCTAGGGCAGGAAGACAGACTGTTATGGACACAACTGCGTCCAGGGGGGAAAGGTGATTCTGGGAAAAGGGAGATGGCGTGGAAATCCACACTGTCCTGCTTGTCGCAGGACCTTGTTTCTCCCTCCTCTGTTTAAACCCACCTCTCGGGAGCCCGTGAAGCCTTTCTGGAGCTTGACTTCTGGTTGCGCTTATCAGAAGAGGAGGCTGGCAGAGGAAAGGACTTATTTCATGAAAGACACTAAATGTGTTGACTTAGTACCTTTCTTTATGGGGCTTCCCTGGTGGCTCAGATGGTAAAGAATCTGCCTGTCAATGAAGAAGATACCGGTTCGATCCCTGGGTTGGGAAGATCCCCTGGAGGAGGGAATGGTAACCCACTCCAATATTCTTGCCTGGAGAATCCCAAGGACAGAGGAGCCTGGAGGGCTATAGATCACGGGGTCGACCCCAGTCCATAGGGTCGCAAAGAGTCGGACACGATTGAGCGACTAACACTATAGTACCTTTATTCTTTCACTTCTGTTTATTCACTGCATTATCACAAGGCTGAAACGGAGGATTCACATGTCTGCAGGGGCCAGACCGTCCACAGGACCTTCCGGAGGCTGCACATAGTTGCGACAGAGCTGGCCGCAGGGGCCTCACGGGCCCCGCTCTCGGCAATGGACCACCAGCCCCAGCTCCTGGAAGCAGCATCCTCACTTCAGGGTGATGATCTGAGGCTGCACTGAAGCTGTAAAGCCTTCGAACTCCACACTGATGTGGTCTCTTCCCCGAATCTACCACTTGGCGGTGCCCCCTCCTCCCCTACTAGTGATAACAACCAGAGGAAAAGCCAAGTGACAGACCTGTGTGTGGCGTGATGGGGGACCTCAGGTCAGAATCTATTCCAGCGTGTGGCCTGTGTCCTCTGGACGAGCGAATTGTTAATGCCTTTGCAGGGAAATGAGGACAGCAGCCCACCCAGTCCTTTCATGATGTGCTGCCCGTCCTTCTAGCAGCTTCACAGA